TGTGTGTGTGTGTGTGTGTGTGTGTGTGTCCAGCCCACAGTGCTGTGACGGGTACATCAGCTTGTCTTTGTCTGGGAACACTGGCCTTCTTCACTAAAGTCAGCAAGGTGGAGGGATGGAGGATTGTTGGACCACCCAAACTGTGAGGAGGAAGATAACTGTAAAATAACGTGTATGCTGTAAAAAGAGTTCATGAAATAAAGTTATTATGAAAAACATAAAATAAACTGAATCCGTGCACTTGATTTCATCTCAGTTGTTGATAAAAATACTGGTTTAATCCCAGGAGTGTCACAGTTTGGGGGGGTTAAATAATTTGGGGATGTTAAGAAATCTACAAATTTACTATAAAATAGCTGTTTGGATTTAAGTGTTTATGCCTTTACAAATCTTGTATTATTTATCATATATGCCTACAGGTTCATCAGTTTTATCCTGGTTATGATTAGGCGTTTGGTTATTATTCTTATCCTGGTTTCAGCACCCTGGATAAGATTTCCAGATTTGAGAAACCTGGATATACCACCTGGTGTGCTCCACCAGGTAACAGCATACTAAAAAAACACCTTATTCATGTTCCTGAGCATTGTTTATCGCTACATGATATAGTGGAAGAGATAGTAATAACAACACTATTATGGTTATGAGAAAACTGAATATAAATCACTCATCCCGTGTGTGTTGGTGCGTCCTAGGCTACCTTTGGGGAAAGATTGCACCTTGAAATGTAGATCAATGGTTATATGAAAGGTAAACAGATAGTTATTGACCTTAATGTGTGGTCATCTGATAATGATTTTAAATTGGGATTATTTCAGGAAACAGCCACCTGCACTAGTCTATATTACTGAGAGAATGATATGAAAACTTATTATCACAGTTTGTGTGTAAAATTTAACTTGTCAGACATTTAAATTATTTTACTTTTTCATTATACATTGTGTTCCTCTATAACAAGTACAAACTCTTGTGTGTCTGACAGATTCTTACTGACTGATTTTGAGCATTTCATTGCTGTTAACAGCTTCATATTTGAAATGTTATATCTCCTGTCAGATACAAACTGTCAGCCTTGATGTGAAGTCTGTGATCGTTGTTGTTTCAAATTATAATTATAATAAAAATGACGATTCTCTTTAAACTGTTGTCTGTTGTGAGCTGGAGAGTGAAACAAAACATCTATTCCACGCCTGACCGCAGGTGACGCTGTGGGCGGCTTACATCGCTTTAGCCGCGGCGCTATTTCTGTATATTAATTCTTCCGGTGTATGTCACAGTGCTAACTCAAGTGTGTTTCTCCTGCAAATTTTACAAACCATTTGTCGGAACACAAAACCTGCTGGCTGGCATCGGGACCGAACGTTTATGTCCGGCGGGTTCGCTGGAACACGAGTCAAACATGGACATCCCCAGTGCCCCCGAAGGTGAGCGGTCACGGTGCAGCCGTATGTGCTTTCTGTTGAACGTTAGCTAGCAACCATGCTACCAACACAGCTAACTGCCTCAATTAGCATTTCAGCTAACTCCAGTCACACCAGCGGCTCAGTGTTTAGCTCAAACAGGTTTTTGTGTACACCTGTGCAGTTCAGCACCTTGAACTGTAATGTGACAATAATACAGTGACCGCTGGCTAACATGCTGCTGCTGCTTCTATGGAGTTTTCTAGCTAAACTGATGCCCAACGATATTTTGTGATTTCTTTCCTTTACTCTTTTATTTAGTAATCAGTGCAATTATGAAACTCTCGATAAGTCAGATATGGAGGCAACGTTAGTCAAGTCGCTCACATAGAGACAGGTCTTATTTACTGTATGGCACTCAATCCACGTATCCCACAGTCAGTGCAATGTGTTCAAACATCGGTTTCCAGTGCAGAATGTGGATTAGGATGAACTAAAACAACAGACTTAGAAAACGTTAGATGGCTGTACACAGTTCATAGTGTATATGTAGTAATAGTAGTATGTGGGCTCTCG